TCTTTAAACAGCCAGAAGGTCAACAATCTGTGATATTCACCTACTGGTCAAATGTCCTTTGGGTATGCAAATTTGCAGGACAGAGTTTACCAAACTTATACTTTGAAAAAAAGAAAAAACGTTGTCACTTGTGCTTGTGTTTCCAGTCTTTAGTGCTCACACATGCATGAAAATATAGTTCGTCGGCACCTTTAAGAGACAAAAAAAAGGACATGGTAAGAATTTGAAGACTGCGACCCAGCATACATGATCACAGCAATTTTGAATTATGATACCTGTGTACACATGTCTGCCTCTGAAAAAAACGGTCATTGCAAAGCTTAAGGGGCAATGTTTTAATCTCTGCGAGGGATCATTAAAAACAAGCTCAAAAGCACTAATCTCCTTCTCTGAAACATGACTTATTTATAGATATGTTTGCCATCTGGTGCTGTTCTTCTCCAACGTTCGGCACAAGATAAATCTGCTCCATTAATGGGCTCTTGTCTTTGCATCCTGCTCCTAATTGCAATATATCACACCATAAAACAATAAATAAACTTTGCTGAGTGGTTTCGTTGGTTACGATATGCTGGTTGTTTCACGACGCTCAGCCAAACGATTGCATCCCAGTGGTCGTTACTGTGACAGAGAGTGGTTTTAATCATATCTTAGGGAGGTTACCTGCTTGACAGCGCTGCCAGGAGACTCTCCATTTAATATCTGTCTCATAAATACCACCTTAATTACACAGCCGAGGGGAAATGACTAACACCCAAGGGCGCTGTGATTCTTTTTGTCCTAACAAGCCAAACATCTGCAGGCATTTGTTTTCACTATAAAGCCATTAGAGTATGACAGAAAGTCACTCAATTTTAAAAACACAACTGTGTTGTCATTTTAACTTTCTGACTTTGCTTTGTTTTGTAATCCTGTATTTTAGTAATGATGTTACATTTAAAGACCTACACACCGTCTTTAACGAGTAAAAACAGTTAGCATATGCATGCCTTCGTGACTAATGAATTCGTCTCCTGACAGGAACAGAGCTCACCTCAGGAATGAAGAGTGCTGACATATATTTAGCAGCTAATTTGAACGTTTTACCACTGTCACGGGGAGGATCTTACAGCCTGTGTGCCTTTCACTACTATCCCATCGCTCACGAGAAGAAATCACACAAAGCCCGCTAAAACGTGACACTGGCACGCGTGCGAAAAAGGCGCGAGTTCTGGGAAGAGGAACGCGCGCCTGTATTGGACGTGGCAACACTGGCTCCGTGTGGCCATAACAGGTATCTCAGACAGGAAGACCTGTCAGCAGTCTTTTAATTTATGTCTCCATTTGACATTCCACATGATGATTTTAGGTTTTAAATGCATTTAAATTTTTAAATGCCTTGAAGGCTTGTACTCTTGAAATTCTACATCATTTCAGATGCTAAAATAGAGCGCACAAAGTCTTCAGATGCCAGGGCATCACAAGAAAAATCCCAAAATGCTATGCATACTCCATAACATACACCCACCTGCAGTGCTGGGTCGATTACTTACAAATTCTGTTACTTATTACAAATTACATGATGGAAACTATAATCAGTAATTTAATCTAGATTACTAATTTTAGATCATATATTCTGACTCCTTTTGGATTAATTTTAGATTATTTTTGACCTAACTTGTTTATATATTTAAATGGCATTGTTATAGAAAATTAAAAAAGGAAAGAAAGTAAATATTTTAGGTCAGAGGGGTTTGACTGACAAAAAGTTTGGGAATCCCTGCATCACATGAACAAACATTAGTAAACATGAAAACACATTATCTGTTTCTAATCAACACCTGGTGAATGAAAAAAAAATCATGCAGGATGACACAAATCAGGCTTTGATTCTCTCATTATAAAAATTCAATAACCTATTTTGTAAAGAGGACATGAAATTTTTCACAACTTATGCAGTATAATTAAGTACAAAAAAAACTCTCCTCAAGAATTCAGACAGGCTGAAAAACAGTGGGTTCTTAATTAAATTACACAAACGGAGGTCTCCTCCTGGAGCAAAAACGTCAAAATCTCAACCTTTCATAAGTCAGTCTAACCAGAGATGACTCGAAATGCAATTAACCTATTTTTCTTATTGTAAGCATTGAATGGAGGCTAGAGGCGACACCTGCATGTCTTGGCCTGTCAGGATCGTAGCGCAATAGAATAAAGTCGGTGAAATCCACATGTCCATCAAACCCTGTAGGAGGGGGGGCATTGGAGAAAGAAGAGTGTAAGGAGAGAAGTGGAGAATGAGAAAAAAAGTGGAAGGAGAGTGAGATTTCAAGAGCGAATGGTGGCTGTCAAAAATCCCTATCAGGCAGCAGAAGGTGATATGGCTCCTTCCCATAAATTCCTGTGATTATGGAGGGAAATCTGTGAGGAACATGCAGTCATTGCCACAGTTAACGAATGAACTGCTGTGATGGACAAGCATAAAAATGGCTCCCAGAAAGTGCTATGTCAAATCAATGTTCTTCTGTTGTTGTTGTTGTGAGCTTCAAGATTACTTATAGACTTGATGCTTTGAAATTTTTGTGGCTAAAAATCATCACTAGAAAAGTTGCTTTAATTTCAAGGCCTTTCAGATGTGATTTTAGGTTGTCAGCGGTATGACAACTGGTTGAAAACTCCAGCCAAATATGACTGAACTAATATTAGTCATTACGGGCCACTTGAATAACCACTTAATTATCTTTTGTGTCGTCAGAAATGAGAATCTGTCTCAGCATTTTGACTTGAATCTACACTAATAGGTTGCGTTAGCTTCAGCAAAACGAAATAGCAAAAAATGGCTGAAATAATTCAACTTCACGGCATTTGATTGGACCAGAGTGGTTCAAAATTGGTTTAAAACTCGGCTTTTTGAAATAGCAACAAAGTTTGAAACAATTATAAATACTTGAACATAGTCAAAGTTGCTTTTGCTTTCAGTACAAAAGCACATGAAATTCTCCATGTACCTTAAGAAAGCATCAACTTAAGAAAACATCCATGTACCATTTTTCTGTACATTTTGCAATTTCTCAAGAAGCATATTGAATAACTGCATGAAGCGGCCAGGAGTGGTATGTATTCAAACTTAAAATAGTCGTGATGGTCTGCTTGAGAGGGTTATTAGCAAGGTTTAGAAATAAGGAGAATTCAGGTTGGAGTACTTCCTCCTCCAGATCTACAGGAACCGCTAACTGTGTGGGAAGCAGGTAGGAGGGAGGGCCTGCTCCTCTGCCTCAACTCCTTCCTCTTTCTTTCTCTCTCTCTCTCCCTGCTTCTTCTCTCTGAGGAGTCTTCCAGCATGAGTACGGGGGCGTATTGATAGATTCAGAGAGTAAGAAGAAATATTGCATTTTTTATTCAGTCAGGCTTCTAAATGTTTCTGACTCTTTCTGAAAGCAGTAAGAAATTAAATAAAGTAATTTAAGTATTACTATAAAAGTGTATATCATATTTTTAGACATGCTCTGGTCAAACTCTGTCATGTAAACATTGAAAATGAACAAGATGGATTTAATATTTTAAAAGTATTGGTAGTTACAGTATCTTATGTGCACTCAAAAAAATTATATGTTGGCCTTACTTAACTTTTTTATGTCAACAGGTTCCACGTAACTGAGTTAGGTTGCATTTAAGTAACAATATTGATTTTAGTGAACTTAAGTTAATTACATAAAGTTAATACAATGTTGTTTAGTTGAATCAACTTAACATTCTTGACTTCGTTTTAATCTATTAAGTTAATCAAGTTCAATTATTCTAAAATTAATATGGTCACATTCAATCAAAACAAATAATACAGTTTCATTGAGTTTATTCAATAAATACATTCAACATTTTATTTTTTTTTACAACTTTTAGAAATTTTTCCAAGAAGAATAATTTGTACAAAATCTAAAGACTGCCCTCACTTTTTTAATCAGTAATCTTATCTTATTACAAGAAAAGTGTAAAAAAGCATACTAATAAAAAGATGTAAGAGGTTCAACGACATGAGGCTGAGTAAATGATGACCGAATTTTCATCTTTGGGTGAAATATTATTTTAACCTATTATGAATTATTGTCAGATTTAAAATGACAGTGAATTTAGATAACATACCTGAGCCATAACTGACAGGATGTTTGTGATCTTCTGTGCTGCTGCTGCTCCTTTCTTTGGTTTGAGAAATGATCAAGCAGTCCCATATATTTGGAGACCAAAGGGATTGTTGTAATCCAACTGAATTTCACAGATACCTAATACAGTTTTAAAAGGACAAATCAGGTTGGCTGCTGATAAATTTGGGACAAACCTTAAAATAACAGCACTTACAGATTACATACAAAATTATTACAAATTAACACATATCTGAATTACATCTAAACTTCAATACATAATTTAGAATTACAAAAATATCTAAGTAATTCATCACAGCTGACATTACAAAGACGTACCTCTTGCTCTATAAAGAGTGCTGGATTTGATCTGGATGTGTGAGGTAAGTGAATTTACGATATATTTTATTAATATAAATCTAAAAATATTAATCTAAAAATCACACATAAACAGCATCCGAAGTTTACGAAGATAATTGGGGAACATTGAAAATGCACAAAACTAATAATCATTGTCTAAATATCCGATCGTATGCATTTTGATTCGACTGCTTCAGTTCACCGCACCAAAGCTGCTAATGGGATAACTGGGGTAAAACATGCTTTTCCAGTGCTAATTTACCCCGCTGTCTGTGAAGCCGATATATGCGATCACATAACTCGTTCAAGCCTCCACAACATCTCATCATTCAAAATTATACATCTCCCGCCCTAGCGCTGCGAGAGTGTTATTTTTAGTCTACTATATGCTGCTCTCAGAGCAAGAGCATTCAATAGTTTCATATCGCTGTTATTTTTAGTCTACTATATGCTGTTCTCAGAGCAGGAGCACTAAATATTATTTTAACCTATTATGAATTATTGTCAGATTTAAAATGACAGTGAATTTAGATAACATACCTGAGCCATAACTGACAGGATGTTTGTGATCTTCTGTGCTGCTGCTGCTCCTTTCTTTGGTTTGAGAAATGATCAAGCAGTCCCATATATTTGGAGACCAAAGGGATTGTTGTAATCCAACTGAATTTCACAGATACCTAATACAGTTTTAAAAGGACAAATCAGGTTGGCTGCTGATAAATTTGGGACAAACCTTAAAATAACAGCACTTACAGATTACATACAAAATTATTACAAATTAACACATATCTGAATTACATCTAAACTTCAATACATAATTTAGAATTACAAAAATATCTAAGTAATTCATCACAGCTGACATTACAAAGACGTACCTCTTGCTCTATAAAGAGTGCTGGATTTGATCTGGATGTGTGAGAGGCTCATGGGAGTTTTACTTACTCAAAGTTGTTCTAAGGGCAGAAAGGAAAATGATTGGTTGAAAGATTCAACCAATGAAATTGGATCAGAGGCGGGGTCAAGACGTTTGGAAATTTGGAGGGAATCTACAGAGATACGTTATCGACTGCTCGTCGGAGATCGCATTTATTGTAAGGTAAGTGAATTTACGATATATTTTATTAATATAAATCTAAAAATATTAATCTAAAAATCACACATAAACAGCCTCCGAAGTTTACTAAGATAATTGGGGAACATTGAAAATGCACAAAACTAATAATCATCGTCTAAATATCCGATCGTATGCATTTTGATTTGACTGCTTCAGTTCACCGCACCAAAGCTGCTAATGGGATAACTGGGGTAAAACATGCTTTTCCAGTGCTAACTTACCCCGCTGTCTGTGAAGCCGATATATGCGATCACATAACTCGTTCAAGCCTCAGCAACATTTCATCAGTCAACATTATACATCTACCGCCCTAGCGCTGCGAGCAGGAGCATTCAATAGTTTCATATCGCTGTTATTTTTAGTGTACTATATGCTGCTCTCAGAGCAGGAGCACTCAATAGTTTCATATCGCTGTTATTTTTAGTCTACTATATGCTGTTCTCAGAGCAGGAGTATTCAATAGTTTCATATCGCTGTTATTTTTAGTCTACTACTCTCTGCACAGCCACATGTAGGACTATAAAACTCTGTGAGGTTGAAAAAAAAAAGGTGTGGGTCACCTAATAATAATAATAATTAATAATAATAATAATATAAAACACTGCCAACTCCTAAACTTTAGTATGTGTTGAATGACCTAACAAACAAGCTTATTTAAGTGTCTTCATGAAAATCCCATACAAAACATGAGATTATGCGCGATTAACCATTCTAATAAAATGACAGCCTCAATATATATGCATAAAAAGTAAAATATCTCACCTGTGTTTCCACATAATGAAAACGTTCCTCGTTTGGCACTGTTATCTTCGTCTGATTCAAAAATGGCGCCGATCGCTGAAGAGTGATCTTTGAATGTGCTGTCCATCTGCGCATGTGCAGATATTTCTCCACCTGCTGACCAAAGTGCGGTACTGCAGAAGCAACTCAACTCCATTTCATTCACTTTACTTAAGTGAACTGTGTAAATTTGAAATATTACTTTTCTAATTTGGTCAACACAACTCTTTTAATTTTAATACACAAACGTAAGGGAATTATTTAGTTTAAACGTAGTTACATTCTTTGGACCAACAGCAGCCACATTTCATTTCATTTTTTTGAGTGTGTCACTTTTTTTCTTATTTATCTTTTGAAATTCATACTGAAAAATACCGATTTTTGTAATTTCATTAAATAAAACGGCTGTTTTAGAACGACACAATCTAAACAAAAAAAGAAAAAACATAATTCACCAGTTCTAATGCTAATACTTACTTATATTTGTGCTGTTTTCCTCCAAAACAATGTCATTATGGAACTGCCTTTTGTTTTTTAAAGAGATTCTGCAAAACAATTAAAATAAATAAATAAACGAGTTACTGTGGACACAGGAAAACCAATAAATCCATCAATTAAATCACCAATTAAAATGATATTCTCAAGAAAACATGTTTTGATTGTGTATTTTATATATTATATTGGATATAGTATATAAGCATTCTGATTAGGGAAACTAAATTAACAGTTTTTCATGTTAGATGTTATTTGGGCACTCAGAGACATAACAAAATTGATCATCCACTCAAACCAAAGTAGTGTAATGATTTAAACAATAGAAAACTAAATAAAAGGATTTCCTCAAAAATTGTAAGATATAATAGGGACATGAAATTGTGTTGCATAGCAGAAATGACCTAGCAATGGATCACTTCTGGAGTCTTTGAAATTGCTGTTATGCTTTTAATGCTAAATTTTGCATGTGTACTTTTGGAATTGGCTACATATTCAAACAAGCAAAAGGTTATTTATCTCTCAGAGCCAAGTAAAAAAGGAAATTTAAAGACGAGGAGTGTTTGAGGGAGAGAAACACAGCAACACTGACAACACTCATTCACCGGCTATTCCCACTCATTTCATCTTCTTTCTCTTGTTTTTCATTCAGTGCCATATCTACTTTGTCAAACTTCTGATTTTTGCCATAGTTATCATTTAAAAACCTGAAACACTATGTACGTACCCTGTCCCGGGAGGTGCCACCTGATAACACAAATCTTGTGTTCTTCTAAAGCGTCCTATCTGGAGAGACAGCACTTCAGAGAAGATAAAGCGGGTTTACGTTAAACTCGAATCCTGAAAGACCTGATAAACGGAACAAGCTTATCTGTATTCTGTGGAATGTTACACATTTTTCTTAATCTCTCACATTCTCTCTCCTACAGCCCCCCAATCTACACTAAAAAGCGAGCAACACGACGTGACAAAACTAGATTGTTCCCATTACAATCAACAGAACTGTCTACACTGCAAGTGTGCGTCAGCATCGTTGATTATAATGAGAGCAACCTCCAAAATCGCCCCTTACCCCATATATAGTACACATTTTTGTAGGGGTGTCTGAAAGCCATGAAAGCCTACACAATAAATAGTGTAGTCATTTAATCCTATAATGCACAGCAATAAAAAGTGCACAAATAGGCCATATAGTCCATGAATGCAGATGAAAACGAGGCTGTGAGGGATAGACTGTATAACTGGTCCTAGATCAGAGATCACAAGCAATTTTCAAAAATCACAACTTTCAAAATGTTTTGTCTAATAAGAATTTTTGTCTAATGAAATTAATGATTTTTTTGTAATAGTAGTAGTATTTTTATTTTTTTGGAAAGATGTTTTGCCAGCTGGACAATTGACTGCTGTTAAACAACAGTACAATCCATTTAACAAACTGCATTTCTGTCGCTCACAGCCTCGTTTTCCTATTAAAAAATAAATATGTTGTTACCCTGACCAAGGTCTATAACAAAAAAATACCTATAACAATGCACTGCGGAGTTGAATTCTAGCATCTCCTCTGAAGATACACTCTTAAAAATAACAGTTCTTTATTTGCATCTGTGGTTCCATGAGGAACCTTTAACATGTATGGAATCTTTCCATTTCACAAAAGGTTCTTTACAACGGAAAAAAAGTTATTTAGATTATTTAAATAGTCTTCACACCAAGAAAAAAAAACTGCTTAAACAAAGGTTATTTGTGGAACCTAAAATGGAATCACTGCACCTTTTGGAACCTTTATTTTTAAGAGAATAGTTAATAGATGCCCCATATAACTATGTGGTCAAACAGCAAACATATTTTGAAATCATACACTCTTAACAATAAAGGTCCGTTATTGGCATTGACCATTTCATGAAGAATCTTTAACATCCATGGAAACATTTTATTACACAAAAGTTTATTTACAGTGGAAAAAGGTTCCTCACAAATGGTTCTTTTAAGAACTGACCGCTGAAAGGTTCTTTGAGGAACCAAAAATGGTTCTTCAATGGCATCACTGTGAAAACCACCTTTATGGAACCTTTATTTTCAAGAGTGTAATATTTGCAGCTCAAGTGATGTGGTGTCACGATACCGCTACTGTGAGGAGCACGGAGCGAGGAATGAGGAGATGTGGAGTAAACTTCAAACTAACAGACTTTAATAAACATCCAAGGAACCAGGAAAACACACATAGCGGGGAAAGACACACATTCAATACCAGACAAAGAAACATGGACAGACACAGGGCTTAAGTAATGGGAATAATTACGGGAATAACGAGAAACACCTGGAACTAATGAGGGAACACCTGAAATCAAGGAACACAATGAGACATGGGAAAAACACACAGAAAGTGACGTGACATGTGGCCAAGTATGGTGACCCATACTCGGAATTAGCACCCGGAGCAGTGGGCAGCCATTTTTGCTGCGGCGCCCGGGGAGCAGTTGGGGTTTCGGTGCCTTGCTCAAGGGCACCTCAGTCGTGGTATTGAAGGTGGAAGAGAGCGCTGTGCATTCACTCCCCCCACCTACAATCCCTGCCGGTACGAGACTCGAACCCGCAACCTTAGGTTACTAGTCCGACTGAGCCAGGGTGACGGGGAGGATCCGGAGGGCCAAGGCGGAGCGGATGGCGACAGCAACTGACGCGGAGGCGTGGATCCGAAAGGCCGCGGTGGAGCCGGAGCGACAGAGGACTGAGGAAGAGCTGAAGGCATGAAGGAGCCTGACAGAGCCGGAGGGACGAAGGGACGAGGTGCAGTTGGAGAAGTGGAGTACCGAGACACAGGATGGTCGACACCAGACCAAGGCG